AGGGAAGGAGGGAGGGGAGAGGGAAGGAGGGAGGGGAGAGGGAAGGAGGAGGGGGAGAGAGATGGAGGAGAACGCGGGGGAGAGGGAAGGAGGAGAAAGCGGAGAAGAGGGGGGGGGGGGGAGAGTAGAAAGAAGGAGACCGCGGAGGAGGAGGAGGGGGAGAAAGAGAGGGAGAGAAAGAGAGGGGAGAGGTTAAGAGAGGCTTTCCCATTCTCTCTCTCTCTCTCTTCCTGACGAGGGGAGATTATGGCCTTTTCCCCTCCTCCGGCTTCTTATCCACTTCCAATCTTTCTCTTTATGTGTGACTTTCTGGTTCCTTCGTTTGGGGATCTGTAGTTCCTCCTTATTTTCCCCTCACGCGATTTTTGTCTTTTTGTTTTGTTCTGGTTTGCCTTTTCTTTTGTTTCCATTTTCCCTTTTCACTTTTGGGTTTGAGTGTTTATGTAAACGTTCCACCATCTAATACCGTTATGTATCATACATGTCTGTATGTCTTTGTGTCTGTCTGTTTGTCTGTCTCTCTCTCTCTCTCTCTTCCCCCCCCTCCCTCCTTCCCTCTCCCTCTCCCCCTCCCCCCTCCTTCTCCACCTCCCTTCCCTCTCTCCGCCAGATAATTACATCACTCTATCCCGCAGTGTATTATAAATGCACATGCGTAATATACACTAATCAGATATCAATTCAGTAAATCTTGTCATTTTTTTTCAGTTCTTTCATTCAAATAACACACTGATTGAATGCATATTAATGCGTTCCCACTGAAAGAAGATTGTGAGTTCAACAATTTAATGTTTTTAATGTGTTTTTGTATCATTAATCTCTGTCTTCCGGATATTTAATTCATATTCAAATTATTCTCCAGATCTTTCCAGGTAGTCTTTTTTAATGTTATTTTTTGGGGCCACTCTTTGTTTTCTCTCTGTCTTCATCATCACACAACACAGACAGACACACAGACAGACAGACAGACAGACAGACAGACACACACACACACACACACACACACACACACACACACACACACACACCACAACAGTCACACACACACACACACCACAACACAGTCACACACACATACACTCACTCATTCATTCACACACACACACACACACACACACACACACACACACACACACACACACACACACACACACACACACACACACACACACACACACACACACTCCCAAACCCACTCAAAACACTCCCACACACTCTCCCTCCCTCCATTCTCTCAGGCCTGAATATTTGTGACGCCTCCTGCCCTGCCTGCTTGGACGGACGGCTGCTCACTTGCCAGGCTTCTCGCTCTCTCTCCCTCTCTCCCTCCCCCTCTCACTCTCTCTCTCTCCTCTCTTTCCCTCCTCTCCTCGCCTCTCTCTTCCTCTCTCTCTCTCCCTCTGACCACTGCCACCGCACGTCGCCCACATACAGCGCTCCTCCGCCACCCAACACCGCGCCAAACCAGGCTGCCCTCACGCCGTGTGTGCAAAGCGGTGTGCTCTGTGTCTCTGTGACGCCCCCCAGCTTCCTAGCGGCGGGGGGGGAGGGGGGAGGGGTGTGGGCGTGGGGAGTGGGTTGGGTAGGAAGGATTGGGAGGGGGAGGGGGGGTAGGTGCGGGCGTGGGGAGAGGGCGGAGGGAGGGAGAAGGCTAGGGGAGATGGGAGAGGGGGGAAGGAGAAAGGAGACGGGTGGAGGGGAGAGAGACAGGGGAGTGGGGGGAATGGGGGGAGGAGGAGGATGGAGCTGAGAGGTCCCCCGGGGAATGGGTAAGGAGTGGGGGGGGGGAAGAGAGGTCGACGTGGCCTGGCGAGGAGGGGGGGGAGGGGAAGAGGAATGAGGGGTGGGGGTAGGGTGGAAGGGCTGAGAGTGAGTCGGTAGGCGGTTGGGTTTGGGGGGATTCCGGTGGGGGGAGGGGGGGGGCAGGGAGGAGCCAAGAGAGAGAGAGAGAGAAAGAGAGAGTGAGGGGAGGGAGGGAGAGGGGGGGGGGAGGAAGGGACAGCGGACTTATCACAAGGATTAACAGGATTTTACCCGTGGGATTTATTCTAATGGATAGGCATTACGAAGCGTCGGTGTGCAGTGTTGATTATTAAAAAAAAAAAAAAAAAAAAAAAAGTGGTGGGTTGGGGAAGGGGAGGAGGAGGAGAAGGGGGAGGGGAACAGGAGGAGGGGGAGGGGAAGAGGAGGAAGGGGGGATGGGTTGGCGGGCGGGGCACTATCCACAATAAACAAATACACTCCCTGCGCTATTCATTTTCACAGACCGGTAATTTTAATTGTTATTTGTGTCAGTCAGGGATTAAAATTACTTTTAGATTTGCTAACTCGACTATTTAGCGATTCTCGAGCCTCCCCCCCACCCCCCACCTACCCCCGCGCCTCCCCTTCTCCCCCTCTTATTCTCTTTCTCTATTTCTTTGCCTCGATCTCTCTTTCTCTTCTTTCTATTTGTTTCTGTTTGTTTGTTTGTTTCTCTCCTCTCTTCTGTCTCTCTCTC